TTTTATTTTTTTATTTCCATTTTTTTTAAATATTGATTTTTTTTTAATTTAATTTTTTTTAATTCCGATTTTTTTTTTATTTATTATTTTAATTATTTTTTAAATATTTTAATTATTTTTTATTACGATTTTTTTTTTAATTAATTTTTTTAATTTTTTTTTTTTTCAAAAAAATTCGACTAGTTCCTACATTTTTTAAAGATTTTTTTTAAATATTTTAATTTTTTATTATGGATTTTTTTTTTAATTTCAATTTTTTTAATTCCGAATTTTTGAAAAAAAATATTTCGATTTTCAACTACTTTTTCATTTTTTTTTTTTTTTTGTAAAAAAAAATATTGATTTTTTTTTGAATTTAATTTTTTTTAATTCCGATTTTTTTTTTCAAAAAATTATTTCTATTAACTTCTATTTTTTCATATTAAAATATTTCGATTTTCAACTACTTTTTTTTATTTTTTATGTCCATATTTTTTTTTTTGTAAAAAAAAATATTGAATTTTTTTGAGATTAATTTTTTTAATTCCGAATTTTTTTTTTCAAAAAATTATTTCTACTAATTCTTATTTTTTATATTAATTTTATTTTATTTAATTTGAATATATCTAAATATTTTTCTCATTTTAAAGTCGTTTTCAATTTTTTTCTTCAGAATAATAATTTTCACTCATGTGTCTTAAGTCTTTTGATTATCACACAAAATAATTAATTCAGACGAATTTCTCACTCTCTCTCTCTCTCAACCTCTCTCTTTGCCTACCTTACACTTGTGTCTTAAGTCTTTTGTCTGCCCCACAAGATACTTAATTCAGACGAATTTGTCACTCTCTCGCCCTCTCTCTCTCGCAAACTCTATCGCATTGTGAACGAGTTAATCTAATTAGATTCGGCTACCTTACTCTTGTGCCTTAAGTCTTTTGTCTGCCCCTCAACATATTTCTTTTTATTTATTTATTTTATTTTTTATTTATTTTTTTTTTTTTTTTTAAAAAAAAAAAAATGAATTTTTTGAATTTGAATTGTTTTAATTCTAATTTTTTCAAAAAAAAATTCTACTAATTCTACCCACTGTGTGTGCCACGGACATAACATAACACTATAAACCTGCTTCATAAACCTGTATGCGTTTAGGCTTAACAAACAAAAGAAGAAGAAAACACTCATCATACAAAAACCCCCTCCTCATAACAGACAAAACTCTTGAAATCATACAATCCCATCAAACCTACCAGCAAACCGAATCAACCAACACACCAAAAACAAAAAAATCCCAGTTAGCCCACATCAAACATTCACCAGCTGGGTAGATAGATGTATTACAAATGTAAGTTTGGTGTAAGCTTGCATCTGAACTGCTCTTCAAATTCACAAAACAACAATAAATTAAAACCAACAACATCATCATAAAGAAACAACATCATTATGATGAAAAACAAAATCATAATGATGATAATCATCATCATCATCATGAACATGTTTGTTAGACATCCCATTGTCGTATTTTATTGGTCTGTGGTTGGTTTTGCCATGTATGTGTTTTTTTTTTCTACTTTTTTCACTGCATGTGAGTCGTGTGTGTGTGCGTGAGTGTTGGGGCTCTTTTCAAATAATAATGCACGAGTTTTCGGCATGAATGACCAGCTAATATACAAGTCGTCTGCAATTTCCATTCGAAATTGCCATGGCGCAAACAATAACAACAGCAACAAAACACAAAACCACCAACAAGAAAATTATAAAAACACAAATATTTTTTATACAGAAATAAACATATGTTTGTGATAAATTTAGTGTTAAATAAAATTATTATAATTGTTGTCGGCCATACACTCAAAGAAAAATTGTGGTTAAGAGAAAAAAATTATTTTGCTATCTGCTTGGGTTTTGATACAAATAATGTTAAAAAAATAGAAATTATAATTGATTTATAATTTGGAACTTAGTTATTTTTAATATTAATTTAAATTTAATTTTTTTTGCATATTTTATTTCAAATTTATTTTTTTATTTGTTGAAATTTATTTAATTTTATTTAATAATTTTTAGTTTGAAATTTACATTTTAATTATTTATTTTTAATTTTTTATTTTCATTTTTTATAAATTTTATTATTTTTTATCATTTTTCAATTTCCTTTTTTCATATATTTTATTTGAAATGTATTTATTTTTTTTATTGTTTTTTTTTTTTGTATTTTTTGTGTTATTTGTGATTTATATTTTAATTATTTATTTTTTTCAATTTTAATTGTATTTTTATTTTAATTTTCTATTTTTCTGAACATTTTTTTCATAACTATGAGCATTCTTTAATTTTTTTCTCCATTTTTCTCCATTTACATATTAAAGAATATTCATGTTCACTCATGTGTCTATAATAATATATAATATATTAATTTAATTTTTATTTTTTTATATATTTTATTTCAAATTTATTTTTCAATTTGTTGATTTTTTTATTTTTTTTTATAATTTTTAATTTGAAATTTATATTTTAATTATTTATGTTTTAATTTAATTTTTTATATATTTTATTATTTTTGTTATCATTTTTCAATATGCTTTTTATATTTTAATTATTTTTTTTTTTATTTTAATTCTATTTTTATTTTAATTTTCTATTTTTTTAAACATTTTTCTCAATACTTTAAGCTTTTTTCAATTGTTTCTGCATTCATTTATTAAGGAATAATCATATTCACTCTTATGTCTTAAGTCTTTCGATTATCACACAGAGTACTTAATTCAAACTAATTTCTCTCTCCCTCTCTCTTTCTACCTCTATAACATTGTGAACGAGTTGATCTAATAAGCCTACCTTACACTTGTGTCTTAAGTCTTTTGTTTACCCCTTAAAAGATTTCTAACGATTTTCTAAATCATCACACTCACAATTCTCCTTCTCTATCGCTCTCTCTCTCTCTCTACTATAGATAACATTTCTATTGTTGTGCTAATGCCTTACGCTTGTGTCTTAAGTCTTTTTTCTTGTATTAAATAGTTCATTAGCTAAGAGAGGGAGAAGTGAGAAAATTGTAATGTAATTGAGTATGTGTGTGAGTGTAAGCATAGGTGCCCAAAATTAAAATGCGTTAGTATGTGTGAGAGAAAACAGAACAGTACTGAACAAAATTGTGTGTACATTTTTGTGGTCGGAAAAAATTATTGATGAATTCAATTTTTGTTATTATATAAAATAAAAGCATTATTAAAAATGTTTTTATATGAATTACAAAGTGTATATGTCATAAAAATCTAATAATGTTTATAAAGTAGCATATACCGAGATAATAATCATATTATAATAATAAATAATAATATTAAATACTACGATAATTATCAAATATTTAATTCTTTAAAAAAACAGAAATTGTTCTGTTGTTTTTAAAATTGTTTAAACATACAAAACGCATTTTGAATAATAAAATAAAAATCCAAATATACTGAAACACTTTTATCCCTAAGTGTTATTTCTTTGATTTTCTAGTTCTGCGGACACGACATCGTGCGCGCACCCCAGTATGTGTTCATTCGTTGCCTGCCAAACAACGACTGACTGAAAGAGCATAACAATGCGTGTGAGTAGGCAGCTACTTTAAAGTATACTGATGGGCACCTATGGAGTGATGGAAAGATAATACGAATGCTGGTGGATGTTGTTAAGCAGCATTACTTAAGAGAATTAAGAGAGCATGAGGAATAATAACGGGCGATATATCCACATGCCGTATTATCACTCTGTTTTGCTCTTTGAGCATGATTGCATAGCAAAAGACTTAAGAAGCAAGAGTAATAGATTTAAATAGATAGAAAATAAATACTAATAAATAAAAATAAAGAAAATATATTTAAAAATTTATAAATTTAAAAAAAAAAAAAATAGAAAATTAATAAATTTGAAATAATTAAATAAAAATTAATAAATATAAAATATTATAAAAAAATAAAAAAAAAATAAATATAATATTTTTTAAATAAAATAAATAAAAAATAAAATTATAAAAATTTTTAAAAAATAATAATAAATAAAAATAAAGAAAATATATTTAAAAATTGATAAATTTAAAATAATTAAATAAAAATAAAAAATAAATATAATTAAATATATATAAATTATATATAAATAATTTTTTAATTAAAATAAATAAAAAATAAAATTATATAAAAATATATTAAAAAATAATAAATAAAAATAAAGAAAATATATTTAAAAATTTATAAATTTAAAATAATTAAATAAAAAAAAATAAAAAAAAATAATAAAAATGTAAAATAATTAAAAATAAAAATTAAAATAGAAAATTAATAAATTTAAAAATAATTAAATATTTTTTTCCTTAAGTGTACTAACCAATCTCCTACTCCTTTAAGGCGAACTGTTACACCTCTCATAATAAAAATAATAAATGTTAGTGGATTAATCTAAGCTTGATTACATTTAATGTGTTGTTGTTGTTTTCATTTTTGGAACCGGTTCCAAATAAATTACATTCAAATTCAGAGCAATAACATTTGAATAAGAAATGTGGCCGTAATAGCCTACTCGAATGTGAGCAAGGAGTTATAAAATATTAAAAAGAAATAAATATTATAAAAAATTATAAAAAAAAATGTCGAAAAAAAATTAGAAAAAATATTTTGAAATGAAATTTTAAATAAGCACCGAAAAAAATATTTTTTTCAATTATTTATATGTTACTATTTTGACCCATTGTAGGGTACCACATCACATCCTTGACCTGAGTGGTTTAAATAACATTAATTTCTTTCATATTTTACTTCCTTTCTTTAACTCGTTTGTCGGCTCCTGCATTACATAAAAAATACACACAAATGTATAACACATGACACCTGGTGGTGGGGTGGGGACCTCCAATATGCAAAATAATTTATCATATTTTTTGCCAACTTGAATTGAATTTTTCGATATGCAACTCCCGGCCAAACCAGTATTATTCGAAATTTATAAAATAATTTTGATTTTAGTTTTTTTCCACTTACCTTTCGATATTCCTGAACGAACAGCGTTATCATTGCCTGTATGGCAGCCGCCCGTCCAGCATGCAAAGCGACTTGTTTACCACTACGTAAATTCAATTGTAACGAAGCTGGCCGTGGTAGGGTAATGGCATTTTGGATCTCAGCAAATGGTATGGCCTGGACGACAATTAAATAGTCGGCATCGCGGCGGGCCAAATACAATCCATTGTGGGATATGCCCATAATGCTAACATCGGGATATTGTGGGGCACCCTGCACCGGGAAGAGTCGAGCAAAGTATAAAGGCCATTCACGGGCCATATCGATGAGATGACGTTTCACAATGGCTCGTACATTTTGACTGCGTACAGTTTCCGCAGTGACCCCATGGCCACTTAGCATATTGATGGCAGCGGCCTTTTCTTGTGGTGATATGCGTAGAGAGGGTGTAAGGCCAAAGACATCAGCTGATACCTGGGCGAAGAGTAAATCCAAGGCCACTGGGGGCCCTATGGGTTCATTCGGGTGGAATACTTCCTTGCGTATCCTCAACTTCCATGGCACACGATTATAGGTTAGGCATGCATTTGCTGGATGTTTGAGTGAAGCTGGAGCGGGCACTGGGGCTGGTATGGCCGGCAGGGGCCATTCATCGCCTCCATCTGTCTCCTCATCACGTCGTGTGGTACTTTGTGACACTGTGGTGGAGGCAGAAGATTTGCGTTTTCTTTCCTTTTCGTATTTCTGAGCCATGTGGGTGCGGAAGGTGGCTGGGGTGTGTGAAACACTCGAGACATTGGCCACATTCGAGGCATGGGAGGCTGCACTGGACATTTGTGACATCATGTGATGTGACATATTCATATTGACATTCGGAGTTATAGGTTGGGAATTGATGGAGTTCAGCGATTGTTTTTTATTCGAGGCCATGGCTTGATAGGAATATTTACGTTCGCCCACATTAACGGGACTGTAGTTGTCACTGCGATCTTGGCGTTCAATGGTGGCTGTGACAACCTTGGGCGGAGCTGGCTGATAGACTTTGTGACTTTCCTTTTCCCTTTCCACCTGGCGCATTTCATAGATCCTCTCACGTTTCTCGCGTTCCTTTTCACGTTCCCGTTCACTGCCACTCGAGGCAGGGCCTTCCACCTCGGCACGATCCCACACCGATTCCGAGAAATCATCACGGTCGCGAGAACGTGATCGAGACCTTGAACGATCCCTTTCATTTTTCATTTCCTTTTTGTAGCTCTTCTCATAGACCATATCAAGTTTTGCGGCCTCAGTACGACCCCAGGAGTCATAGGCATCCTTGGAATCATCCGAACCATTCCAGTTATGTCTTGCCCCGAAGGTATCCCTATCCTGACGTTGTATAAAGGCAGGGATGTCTTTACTCTGAGCCCTATATTCCGTCTCATCCACCTCGTCGATGTGCATGGGAGGACTCTTGGGTACGGGTGGTGGTGCAGGAGGGGCCACATTTGGTGGTCGTATTGGTGGTGGTGGTGCTGGTATACTGGGTGCCGGTGGTACATGGGCTGGCCAGCTCGAGGGTGTCGGCACCATTTTCTCTTCCATACGTTCGATATGCGAACGCACCGTGTGCAGATCCGCCGTATTCGCTGCACTGCCGCTCATCATGGCAAATTGGCCACTCAGCTGTTGTTGTAGCATCATTTTCCGGGTGTCCTCCAACTTTGCGGGAGTCCTTTGCTCAGATTTGGTACTCACTGTGGAGCGTACGGAGTGGCCGGCGGTAACCTGTTCCAGGCGTTGCCTCATCTCAGAGCTAAGTTTGAGTTTTCCCACACTACCTGGTGGGGGACGATCGGCACCGATTTCGAAGCTCTTCTTTGTTGTTTTTGTGGTGACAATGGTTTGTTGTTGTTGTTGTTGCTGTTCGTGATGGGGGTGATGCTGATGCTGCAGGGATAGTTTGTGATGTTGTTGTTGTTGCTGAGCCATGTGATGCTGCTGCTGGTGTTGTTGTTGTTGCTGCTGCATTTCCATTTTATTGTTGTGATGCTGTTTCAGGCCACCTGTCTCAATTTTTATCTGGGTCCTGACCATTTGTGTGGTATGCATAGGCATGCTCACCACTGGCGAAGGACTCTTCGATATGCCATCCTGCACCTCAAATTCCTCCCATTCCATGGCGGAACCAGTCAGCGAACCATTGCTACTATGGAACTGAGACTGCGGGGTATTCTTCCTTTGATGTTGACGCATTTTAAAGGCAAAGAAATCTTCCTCCGTTTCGAATTGGGGGCCATCCTGAGGTGGTGGCCAGCGCCATTTACCAATACGCACCGTTTTGGCCCGGCCATAGGGATCCAAAAAGTGCCGAGTCTCCGAGGGATCTTTTACCTCGATGGGTGGTGGCATGGGTGGAGGAGGTGGTGGTGGAATCAGCGAGCCTCCACTTTCCGATGAGGCCTTGCGATTACGCTCACTTTCCGAAAATTGTGATATGCGATTCTTAACACTCTGCTTGCGGACCTGGTGCACCGACTCATTGGAGACGACGGAAATTTTGGCGGTCATATTATTCGAAATTGCCGTGTTACTAGAGGAGGAGGAGGTTGCAGTGGCTGTAGTAGTACCTGCATTAAGGCTGGCATTTACCACCGGAGCAATAAGCGGGGCAATGAGAGGTGGTGAAGTCGTACCACCCGTCTCCTGTTGACTCAATAGGGTTTGCAGGGCCTGATTTTGTGCCAAGAGCTGCTGTTGAATTTGTAAATTTTGTGCCATGGCGGATTGTAGAAAAGCCCTCTGAACCTGATGTTGATATGTAGAGGGATCAGCATCGGGTGGTATATTTACCATTTGCAAGAGGTTATCACTGCTGTTGAGTATGGGGCTTATAGGGCCGCTAACAAAGGTACTGCTGGTCGAGGTGGCCTGGGTTTGGGCGCCGCCTCCTTTAATGCTATCAATGAGTTCGGAATGTTCGGTCAATACCTTTACAGCTTCGTTGACAAAAATGGGTTTAAAGAGCCCTGTGATGTAGTCATCTAGGTTGGCGGAATTGGATTCCTCTTCGGGTCTTCCTTGGCTGGGTTTTTCACCACCTCCCTTGATTTTTGCCGACAAAAAGTGGCTATTCCAATTTAGAGACTCCATGGAACCACAATCAGGGGCCTCGCAGAAGTTTTCTTTGTCAAATTCGGAATTTTCTTCAATCTCTCCTTTTAGCTTCAGTTGGGCGCCACCACCCCTTATACTGGCCGCCAATGATCTGGCATCTGACAACTCATCCAATGAACCATCCAATACGGGACTAAACAGGTCATCCAAAAATTGATCCACATCTGAGGCCTGCGAGGGTACCCTTACCCGCCTTACATGCGAAGCCAATGAGGGGGCCTCACTTGTATCGGACATGGCTGAGGATCGCGTGGCATATTCTGACTTATCCATATATTTACTGGAGTGGGAACCTCCATGAGACCTGCGGCCGGCATATTGTGACTTTTGATAACGTGGGGCAGACTCCTTGCCCATGGGTGTCAAGCGTTCCGCAGAATGATATCTATCATTGAGACGACTTTCCGATAAACCAATTTCCGCCAAAGGTTCCGGTTCTGTATTGGCATCCAAGTCCGTGACATCTCCCGCCAGCAGATCATCCAGAGACTTAGATCTCGATTTCTCCTGCTCGAAGTATCTATCATTCAGGGCCGAGTTGCGGGACAAAATATTCCGGGAATTTTTCCTTATGGGCTGCTCATCATTTGAATCGGAAATTGGCGATTCCACCGGGGTACTCGATTTCAATTTTTGTGGTGGTTCGGGTGGTGGCACCTGAGGCCTCTTGGGGGTATTGGTATCTCCAGGCTCTCCCGACAAAATTGTCCTATGGAATTTAGCACCGGTGGTCATTAAATCGCTTCGCAGGGCCGGAAAGGCAGGACACAATTCCTTCTCAGCAATCAAATCCAAAACATAATCGAGGCCACAGGAATCTGTCAGCAGTTTACCATCATCAAAGACCACAGTCCAGCCACGATTGGAAATGCCGAGAGTGGACACAGCCAATGAGGCAGCCTCTTCACAGGTGGTCCACGAATCAATGGCCACAGTTTGGCTATTTTCATCGGGTAGGGTCAGTGACACGGCAATATCGGACATACGAGAAATTGCCCTCCATTCCACCCAGGAGGGTGTGAAATTACGACAGCTATTGGCATGATTGGAACCCACACCATTCCGCAGAATTTTCTTGAGCAGCATATCCCTCATGGAGTCAGGGGCCTGGTCCACAATAAATTTCATCAAATATTTACTAAAGGCTGGACCGGGTTGGAAACAGGACAGGCACTGGGCCATCAATTGCCAAAGTCTCTGGGCCTGGACCTCATCGTTGTTGTAGATTTGATTGCACAATTGAACCAAAATTTCATCGCGTAGGCCCCGAGAGGACAACCCCTTGTGCACAATATAATCCGCCAAGACCTTTTCCTTGTTGGTATCCAACGTTTTGTCATTGGTCCAGCGTAGAATTAGTTTAAATACCGCCAAGGAGTCCTGGAAATCTTGATCCCTTGAAGCGGCCCTGGAAAGGAAGGGCGTGGTAATGGGTTCCCTGCGGGCGGAGAGGACAACCGCATGCCGTTACAGTACACCGAACTAAATTTGCCAAATGAAAATTGATCCAAATCCTTGGGTAAATCGGCAGCCACTGGAGGTCCTGGCACGGTGCCCACCACCTTGACCAAATGTCGATCTCCGTGGACCGGGGTCCAACCTTCACTTTTCGAGAATATGAAAGCCAATTCAGCGGGTATATCAAGATATGAGATTTGACTGCGTTCCAAATTCTCCTTGGCCTGCTTTTTGGCCTCACGTTCCTTTTGGGCCCGCTGGGCCTCCAAACGTCTTTGATATTCGGCCTTGAGTTTTACCGCCCGCTTGCGTCCCATTTTACCACGCCATAAGGCCTGAGCCTTAATGGCAGCTTGGCGTAGTTCTTTGTATTTCTTCGCTTCACGATGACCCCTCCAGCGGGCCTGTATCCTGGTGGCGGCCTTTTTCTTACGCATCAGGTGTCGTCGGGCCAGCATGCCGCGTACATGTTTCTGGATAACCACAGCGGCGGTTTTCAAGCGATCCGAACGGCTACTCTCCAGCATGCGATGCAGGGCTTCACGGAGGAAAACTCGAGTGGCGCCCAATTGATAGTCGGGACCCTCAATACCAGTGCCGGGCATTGATTCCAGTAAAATTCGGCACAATTCACGATAGGGAGTGCCTCGCGACAATGGGGATCTCATCAGATGACGATAGCGTTCAATGAAATGTTGGAAGCGTAGACGTACCGGATAACCCTTTTGGCGGATTTGTATGGTATCCAACATTCCAAGGTAGCGGAGTTGCTGCAGCACGCAGGGCATATCCATTTTCAGGGATTGTTTTTCATTGTTCGGTTTTATGCAGCGAACGAACCAGGGGTTACACCTGCCCATCGATTGGAGCAATTGTTGCAAAGAGTCGGAGAATCTGGCCGCCACTGTGGGGGTCCTTGGCTTCATGGTAACAAATCGTCCATTATTTCCTTTAGGTAAAGTCTTCCCAGAGTCCCGCTGGGCCCTCAACTGCTTTGTCAGATCAGAGACCAATTGCAGCTTACTCGAGCTAAGTAACTCCAGGACATCACCTCGCAAAGCATCACGATTTTTATCGAGGAATCCGTCAACACAATACCACACCTGCCCGGCATAATGGGTAATACCAAATTCTTGGGCTCCTACCCGGGGCCGGGAATACAGCTCATTCAAGGCATGATTGTAGTGGCACTTCTCCAGAAAACTCATATCCGACGCTCGGGGGAAATTTGATTCATCGTCGAGGAGATGGAAAATGCCCACCGGCTTCTTGGCCAGCAAATGGATGACGGGTAAATTATCATCCCAGGTTAGAGGGGTCCATTCCAACCGCTCTCGCGAATATTCTGCCTGTTCCAACTTGAAGACATGCTTATTGAAATATAGCTGCAGATTTTCATTGGCATAATTGATACAAAGCTGCTCGAAGCTATTCTCCGCCAAATCCTCAAAGCCAAAAATATCCAAAATCGAAATACGATGGGCATCATGGGTGCCACCCTTCTGAACAATGGAGTTGATACGCGACACCAGCCAATTAAACAATCCCGAATACAAAGCCTTGGCAAAGGCATCTCTGGCATCCAAGGCCTGATCTATGCTCAGCGGGGTATGTAATCTCTCCGATCGGGCTTCGGTTATGCGACTGGTCAACGAGCGATGCAAACCCTCTGCGGAGATATGCAGCAAATGGGCAGCCCATTTAATTTCAGCGTCAGAACCAACCTCCACACCCTCCTGGCCATGGCGTAACTGGCGTCGATGGAAGTAGACATTACCCAAATGCAGCACGGAGGCCAGAACCCTGATTATGCCTTCCCTTTCTCCTTCGGAGACACCCAAAACCTGCATAGCACTCTGCAGTGATTCCCAATCCACCCGGCCGGGAGCACAATCTGTGGCTCCTTGATTTAAATAGAAATATTTATCAGCCTCCAATAGGCCATATTTGGTGCGTTCCGTTTCCGAGAGGCCTCCCAGCATTTCATAGAAGACATGGTAGTTACGCTCACCGGGGGCTTGGGTTACAATCCTAGACTTCTCCAATAGATACTGGGTTATCTTGGCGCCCACAATGGCACCACTTTTAAAATACACCTCCAAATATTTGCCGAACCGGGAACTGTTGTCATTCCTGGTGGTTCGAGCATTACCAAAGGCCTCCAATAGAGGGGCAGCTTCGAGAATTTGTTCGGTTATGACAGCTGAGGCGGAACCTCCACCCGGCACCACTGCCGCCAAATATTGCATTACCAATTTTGTGGACTCTGTTTTTCCTGAACCTGATTCTCCGGAAATCACCACCACCTGGGGTGAGGGCAGCGAAGCATGAGCCGCAGCTCCAATTGCAAAGAGATGTGGCGGCATGGTACCCAATGGCTTGCCGGCATATTGTTTGGCCACCTCTAGGCCATATGAATCCGGGAACATTTTATAGGGATTAATGGCTATCAGGATACTTCCCGCGAACGTGTAGATCAGGCCCTTGTCATAACGCAAACGTAAATTCCATAGCAGGGAAGCTTCGTGCAGATCCTCCAGCATGGTCATGTCCTCCACACCACTGCTACCCAAGTCCTGGCGGGGTCGAAGGTTGCCCTCTCCAGGTTGCAGGGCAAAGGTTTGGGGCTAGAAAAAAGAGAGAAAATTAGAAATGAAAAATAAAAAATCTCCTCCTGAGAGTAACCCACATATTTGGCCAAAATATCACTGCACAGGATCGCCAACCGCCTGACACTTTGCGGATAACGGTTTTTCATTTTACGCTCTTGATTCTGCAGAAAACGCAAACGTAAGGTTTCGCTATTTGCCCCGGGGCTGGGAAAATCTTCAATGCTGGGTGGCCGTTGGCGCCGCAGCACATGCGGCGACAGTATGGCAATGGAGGGTGAGGGTGCGGGGCTGGGTGTAATAGAGCCGCAGCGTTGCCATGGTTCCAAATGAAAGCGGACAATACGCATTGGGCGACAAGAAGACAAAAACAACAACAATTTTATTTCCCAAGACCCAAAGAGAAGCCAAAAAAATCCGAAAAAAATATTTTTTTCCAGAGAGGGCAGGGTTTTCCACTTGATTTAGTTTTTTTACAATAACAAAAAAAATCAAACAACAACAACAGAAAAATAAACAATCCGTTAGCTGGCAAATAGAACGCCACTTGATCTACAGGTCTTGGGGATAACTGAAAGGAGTTTATTGGCATATGGCCAGCTGAAGCCATGTAACAACAAAATATTGGCAGACAACTAGATTCTGCTCTTCATCTCTCCACACACACACACAGACGCACTCACACACATAGAGCCACATGCGTTAGAGATACAGATTACCCACAAGAAGAAGAAGAAGAAGAAAAAAGAAAAACATGTTTGGTTACATTGTGATGAGGCTGCTGTTGCAGATGCTGCCTCCTAACATTGACCATCCATTGAGCCATCCATCCGACCACTTTGGATTCCTTTGAGCAAAAAAAAACTTAACCAATTACACTTAACTGCCTCTGGCAATCTTGATAAACCAGAAAATTGTCATTGGACCAAGTATTCCAATCCATGATGAATGGGTATAATTATTAATTTTGTTGCCGTTATTGTTGTCATATGGCTACTTTTCTTAATGAATAAAAGATTAGATTTTTTTGAATGGAGATTTGGCGCCCAATGACAATTCAAAATACTAAATCGTAGGCAATCCGTTTAAAAAAAGTCCTCGAAATCCGTACTATTAGTTAAGGACCTCTAGCAACCTCCTTATAAGCTATTTTCACCTAAAAAAAACTCCTATCAATGTGAATGTCTAGAGACTTCTGCATAACCTAGTCTATTGGATATCTAAAAGCCTAGCACAAGCCTTAAGTGACCTCTAACAACCTATACAGGCCTCAAAAAGCCTCTCAGAAGCCTTGACCTCGTAACAACCCACACATGGCCTCTAAAATCCTCTCATAAGCCTTGAGATACCTGTAACAACCGATTTCTTTAAAAGTACTAAAAACCTAACCATTTCTTATCCTCTAGAGACCTAAAAAAACTCCTCGTAATCTATACAGACCTCTAACAGCTTCTCATAAGCCTTAAGGGACCTCTAACAACCTCCCTATAACGTATGTGTGTCTCTAGAGACTTCTGTGTAACCTATTTGGACCTATAGAAATCGATTTCTGCAAAACTACTAAAACCTAAGCACTTTTTTTAGCTCCTAGAGAACATATCGGGTCTCTGGACCCTCTTTACAACTTCTTCGACCTTTATATAGCACCTCATGTGTCACTGCTATCGAAATAGTCTCTTATACGCCATTGTACCCTTAATAACATATTTGGACCTATTTGGAAATTTATTCATAGGGACTCCCTGTAGACCTCCTCTACGGACTTCCTGGTTTCCTATAATTCACAAAGAAAAATTCGGTCACATTCGGAACTCTTTGTAGATACCTATCTAAATATAATCTGATACCTTTCCGACCATCAGATTATATTTACATTTCATTCGGATTTTTCCTGAGTTCTCCTGTAAAGTCCGGAGGTCTCAGAACCTCTAGAGTCCTCCAGACTTCCTTACTGTAACCTTTATATACCTCCTTTCATCCTTTGGAGACCTCAAGGCTACCTATTGTAACCTCTTTATAGGTCCTTCAAAATATTATAGGTCCTTCTGGAAACATCGAAATCCCCAAAATGCAAAAAATTGAGGGTTTCGATATATGAGGTCTATACTTAAAAGTGGGTCGATCTTGATAATTTTTGGCATAAAGATTAGACATCCAAAATTCCATATTTTGCGCCCATTCGATTGACAAAAGTCCTCAAAGCCCCAAAGATATCGAAAATTTGAGGGTTCCGATATATGGGGCTCACAACCTTTATAAGTTTTAGAAAGAAAATGGGACACCTAGTGAGAACTCAGTTTGGTTGAAAAATGTCCTGAAAATTCCCAACATGTCAAAATTCGGAAGGTACCATTATATGGGGTCTATACCTAAAACGGAGCTGATATTGATACTTTTTGGTAGGAAGAGGTGGCAAGAGAATCCAAAGTACCCAAATAGAGCCAAATCGATTAAAGAAATGTCCTCGAAATTCCCAAAAACAATCGAAATTTTTGGGGTTCGGGAATAGGGGTGAGGGCTAGACCAAAAAGTGGACCGATATGCATAATTTTTGGTAGGACGATTTAACACTCAATGAGAACCCTAAATATCAGATTATAACCAATTCGATTGAAAAATGTCATAAAAACCCCAACATATCAAAATTCGGAAGGTACCCTATATGGGGCTATACTTAAAAGTAGAGATATACTTATATCAAAATTTGTTATATGGGGGCTGTCATAATAAGTGGTCTGATATTAATAATTTTTGGTATGAAGTTTATACAGACCCCCAATGAGACTCATGTGATTGACAAACGTCCTCAAAATCCCCAAATTACCGAAAAACTGAGGGTTCTGAAACATGAACCGACAATGATCATTTTTGGTAGTAAGTGTTGCGAGATCCAAAATCGATTGTAAAATGTCCTCGAAATTCTCAAAATACTGGAAACTGGAGGGTTCGGATATATTGGGACTATCCAAAAAAGTAGATCGATATTGATAATTTTTGGCAGGAAGATTTGACATAAATATCGAAAATTTGAGTCTATCGATATATGGGGACTGTACTGAATCTTCGACCAATAGGAATAATTTTTGATAGGTCGATTTCCTAAACAGTGAGAGCCCATTCCTGTAAAAATCCGATATCAAAGCTCTGCTTGAAAAAGTAAAATATTCCATATTAAAAGGAAACACCCTGTACTAAAGTAAACCTATTACAAATTTCATTATAAATCTTCAAACGAGCTTGACATAATCATTCTTAAATTTAAAATTACAGACATTTCTCAAAAAAAAGTATTGAAGTCCCTAACAAATTCGGTTTAAAAAAAATCATATAAATTCCAAAAAATACACAGGCTCTCCTGGCCCTAAGCCTTTGTTTTTATTTTTTTTCAATATTTATTTTTTGATTATCTTTTTCAGCTCTAATCATTTAATGAATTAATTTTTTAAAATTATGTGAATCACCCTGTTGTATTACAACCCCCTTAAAATTTGAGGTTATAAATACCTCCCAACATAACTTGTCATAAACAACTCAATTTTTTTGGGATGACATATTTCAAATTCCGATGTTCATTAGTATTATTACTATTTTTTTTATTTTCAAAATTTTACTAATTTGGCAAATATTGTGTGTTTGTGTATGTCTCCACACACGTGTGTGTGCGTTTGTGTGTTGGTGCGTTTAACATATTTGGTCAAAAAAATGAGTTTCACTTCACAACAAAAACAAAACCAAACAAACACACAAAGCAATTCATTCATTTAATCAACAAAAAACAAAAACTGTTTTCATTCATAAAACAATGTCATAAAGTTAAAACACTAACACACACATACACACAACATTTTTGACAACAACCAAAAAAAATTAACAAATGAATGAAATTTCCACTGAGTAAAATTTTTGGCGAAAGAAAAAAATGGGTTTTTTTGGGGAGAAAAGAAGATTTATTTGCTCTCCTTAAAACTGGGCTGTCCTGAGAGTCAATATTTTGTGTTTTTTATACCCTTCACCACACTGTGGTACAGGGTATTATGTCTTTGTGCATATGTTTGTAACAGGCAAAAATAATCGAGCTAGACACATGGTTCCTTTTGAGAATATGCATAGAATCACTTTCTGAGTCGATTTATACATGTCCGTCTGTGTGTCCATGTTAAATTGTAAACAAAGTGCAGGTCGCATTTATTATCCGAATTCGATGAAATTTGGCACAGCTCATTTGTTTGGCCCAAGGACGAACCCTATTGAAATTGGGAAAAATCGGTTCAGATTTAGATATAGTTCCCATATATATCTTGGTCCGATTTAAGGTAAATGGTTTACCAAAGTCCCTATATATCTTTCGATTTGCAAGAAAATTGGCACAGCGTACTGAATTAAGTCTAGAATGATGTGTGCAAAGTTTCGTGAACATCGGTTCAGATTTAGATATAACTCCCATATATATTTTCATCCGATTTAAGGTAATTGGTGAAGTCCCTATATATCTTTCGATTTGCACGAATTTTGTCATAAAATACTGAATTAAGTCTAGAATGATGTGTGCAAAGTTTCGTGAAAAGATCCATAGCTAGGCCGATTGACACAACGTACTGAAGTAATATAAATTAATCTCTGACAAGTTTCCCTGAAATCGGTTCAGATATAGATACATAACAAAAACGCGTCGTCTGTTAAGATATATATGTACAATATACCCAAAGTGGTGAAGGGTATCATATAGTCGGCCCAGTCCGACTTTACTTACTGGTTAAATCATGAAAAGAAATTTCTTTTTAATTTTTTTTTTCAAAAATCTGGAACCAGTGTCCTTAAAGTCCGTATTTTGACCATTTGATATGTGAGTCACCCCCTTTTATATTTTATTCCGCTACTTACCTTCCCCTTAATGACAGCCTGCACCACAATAACTTGAGCGGCCCGATGTACCTCTTGTATTTCACCCGGTATTGGATGACCCACACCCGGGTCAAACCATACCAGATCACCCTCAGACCAATCCATTATGGCGCTGAGTTAATTTTGCAAAGAAAATTTTGCTTCCAACAAAAAAAGAATATCCGTTAATCCTGTAAAGCACTGATGATGAGGACCACAATGATGATGATGACGATGCGGGTGATGGTGTTTTGAATGGCAAAACAATTCGGACTAAATGTTTAGCTTAAATGAAGACATGGCTCTGTAAAGAAGAAATAAGAAAAAAATAAACAAAAATTAAAATTTTTTGACAACCCACAATGAAAATAAATTTAAATGAAAATTAAAATAAAAACAACAACAATTACAACAAAGAAAAAAATTACACAAAGAAAAAATTACTCAAAAAAATTACAAAGAAACCTATCCTTAAAATGTTGGTGATGATTTATGTAGGAGAACCGCACAGTAAAAAATGTATGCCAAAGAATGTTTTTGTATGTTGGTGTAGGCAAATTACAACAACAACAAACATACTCACTCATACACACACACACACACAAATATTATTAATGTTCCAAGTTAGGTGTAGATGCATGTCGACATACACATAACATAGGTGCAGCAGCATAGAATTTATTATCGAAGCCAAAAAGGCAACGAAACAAAAGACTTAAGACCCAAACTTGTTATTAAATTCAATGCAAATTAACAGCCAACAGCCCCCTCTCAGGCCAAAAGGAAAAGCATCAAATGGTGAGTTGTTTTTTTATGTTGTTTTTTTAATAAAAAAAAAATGCCACTAAAAACGGGTCTAGACTTCTTCTTGTTCTTCTTTTATTTTTTCTTGTTTTCTTTTGTTCTGCATAATTAATTAAATGATGACAAAGAATGTTTTTCAGATTTTATGTTTAATTTTATGTTGGTATTTTGTGTTTTTTTCATAGAAACCATAAAATAATCTCTTTGAATGAATATTTATAGATATCAAAATATTTATAGATTTATCATCAAGTAAATAATTTAAATATTGAATTTTTAATTAAAATAGGACTCAAAAAACAAAAAAGAGAAAAATCCAGACATTTCTGTAAAAAATATATATCCCGAAATAATAAAAAAATTCAATAAAAAATTAAAGAATATCAATAAAAAATGCAATAAAAAATAAAGAAAATCAAATATTAATCTAAAAAATAAAAATTGGATGAAAATACATATCGGGAAAATATATAAGCTATATTGAAATCTAACACACATTTTCCCTGTGCCAAACTCACTACTCATCATTCTAGATTTAGTTCAGTACGCTATGCCAAATTTCGTGCAAATCGAAAGATATTTAGGGGCTTTGGTGCACCATTTACCTTAAATCGGACTAAAATTTATATGCGGGACCTATATATAAATCTGAACCGATTTTCATGAAACTTAACACACATTATTATAGACTTTATTCAGTACGCTGTGCCAAATTTCGAGCCATTCGAAAGATATATAGGGACCTTGAAGCACCATTTACATAAAATCGGACGAAAATACATATGAAAGCTATATCCAAATCTGAACCGATTTCCACGAAACTGAACACACATCATTCTAGACTTAATTCAGTACGTTATGCCAAATTTCGTGCAAATCGAAACATATATAGACACTTTGGTACACCATTCGGACGATAATTTATATGGGAGCTTTATCTAAATCTGAATCGATTTTCACGAAACGTAGTACACATCATTCTAGACTTAATTCGGTACGCTATTCCAAAATTAGTGCAAATCGAAATATATATATAGGGACTTTGATGCACCATTTACATAAAATCGGACGAAAATATATATGGGAGCAATACCTAAGTCTGAACCGATCGGACGAAACTTTATACGGGAACTTTTTCTAAATCTGAACCGATTTTCTTGAATTTCAAAAGGGACCTTTCGTACCTTAAATCGGACGCCAAATATATATGGAAGCTATATTGTGCCGAATTTCATCCAATTAACACACATCATTGTGACTTACTTTGTTTACAATTTAACATGGAAAATATATAGACGGACATGCATAAATCGGACGATAATATATAGAAAGTATTCTATGCATATTCACGAAAAACACACCTTGTGTCTATCTCGTTTCTCTTTGCCTATTACAAACAGTGTGGTAAAGGGTATAATTAAAGAAAATCGTATATAAATCTAAAAAATATTTATATATTTTTTTTTAATCTAAAGTCTTTTATAAAAAAATTCCAAATGTTTTTACGAATGGTTTTCTAATAGAAAATCGCAGAAAATAGCAAATTTTCAGAAAAAAATAAAATGTATTTTTCCGAGTGGTGTTCTCATAGAAGATCTCAGCTAGGACTTCAAAATAAGAAATGCTTTCAAAAGAAATGCACAAAGCTATAATACCCTGACAACATAGTTGTGTAGGGTATAATAATATCCATATTTATTCCTGAAAATATAATTTTTTCCTCTGACTCTCCAAAAAATCATATCTATCCAATTTTTTTTCCAAACCCATCCAATACTCATCTTCTTCATTATATTAAAATATTTTTATTTTATTTTATTAACAGTTTCACAAGCTGTTAAATCTCCTTTCCCCATTATTTTCCATTGAATTGAAAATTTCTTATAAAAATTCCAATCCCCATACCTCATATCGTGACATGCACGACCTTGTCAATTGAACACAGAACACAAATTTTAATTTAATAACTAAAGCTATCATCGTATTATTTTCATCTTCTTCTTCTACTCATGTGTGTGGTACGCCTTCTTTTCTTTTTTAATCACTACAATGCTTCCGTGAACAAGAAAAAAAATTAATATTAACAAATTGCAAAAAAAAACGATGTATAAATATTAGAAAAACAAAGAAACAAATTTTAGTTGGTAATATTTTTTTTTTAATTTAACGCCATCAATTATAATTATTTTCCAAAAAAATGTGGGAGTAGGAAATTCATGATTGTTTAATTAATAACACAAAAAAATGGCAAGGTAAAGAAAAAATTATTAAAACATTGCAGATTGCAAATTTAATTCCCCCAGAAATGTAAAAAGGAAACCTTAAATTTGCTACATTAAGTGGTTATTTTTTTCTTAAAGAATTAATACAAAAAAAAAATTAAGAAATAAGCATTTAAAATTTCTAAAAAAATATATATTCTATATACTTCAAACAAATTAAATGTTAAATTCCTTTAAAAAAATCATTTTCAGCGAGAGTGAACTCTTTACCGCCATTTGCTTTGTAAAATAATCAAAGAACTTTCATTTTTTCACAAAAGGCTTTTAAGAAAGTATTTGCCTTATATACATCAAATTATATGACAAACAATCTCTTAATTCCCTTCAAACAACATTTTCCTTGTCGAAATTACAAAAGACTTAAGCAACAAACTCGAAATGCTCTTCAGAGAGGATTTACTTTTGAGCAGTTATGCTCAACCACAGTTACTCTCAATTTTGTTATGCCCATAGCAAATAAAATATCAAAAGACTTAAGAAACAAACATCAATTACTCATAAGATGTAATTTATTTTCCAATTAGACAAATTGAGACAGTTTACCTTCCCTATTGCACAAAAGACTTAAGAAACATGCACCTGATGCTTTTCACAGAGAGTATCGAGAAATAGTCACTATAAAGCAGCAGCATATGATCTACTGAAAACATTTTCTCTACAGAAAGATGAGAAGAGAGAGATGAGAATTTAATGAGAACTAAAGACTTAAGAAACAAGCGCTCAAACACTATTTTGATAATGATGTCCCCCCAACAAATTCCAATAGACTTAAGAAACAAACACCAAATACTCTTGGGAGAGAATGAATTAAAAAGAGAAGAAACCGTAATAAACAATAAACAAATAACAAAAGACTTAAGAAACGAACACCAAATGTTCGAAATGCTATTGCACAAAAATCATTTTTATTGGAAAATTCACTATTTTTTTAAACGGAGAAAACAATTTTTAAAGATGTGTAGTGAATTATATTTGATCAAATAATTTTCACAACAGAAAAAAAATATTTTTATTTCATTTAGATGAGATGACATATATTTTTATAAAAAAAAATGTTCTTCAATAAAAATGTAGTTTTCAATTAAAAAAATTTAGAAATTTTTTCCTAAAAAAATTAACAAACATCATTTCGTGAATTTTTCTATAGAGAAAAAATTAATATGATTTTCTGTAAAAAATATACCAAAAAATTTAATTTTTGTTATATACAAAAATAATCACAGAAATTGTAATGGAAGAATTCACATAAATTAATATAAACAATTTTTTTTTAAATTTGTTTTTCTATATTTTATTTTTTATTTAAAAATTCCCTATATTTTTATTTCTATACAGAAAAAAATAACAAAATGTATATATATATATATATATTATAATTATAATTATTTGTTCTATAATTTTTATATTTCTATAAAAAATTCATAATTTTATAATTTATTATAAAAACCACAGAATTATTTTTTTTTCTTTCAGAAAATATATACGTAATTTTTCAATACAGGAAATATCGTTAAATAATTTCATATTCTTTACCACATTTTTTATTTATTTAGTTTTATTTTATTTATTTATTTTTTTTGTTTATTTACCAAATTTTTAATAAATATTTATGAAAATTGTCTGTGTAATTTATATACGAATTTTTAATTAATTGCCATTATTCAGCAATTAGTAAGCAAAACAGTCGATCGGTATTTAGCAGAGACACACACGCATGCGTGGATAATGGGCAGCTGTAATAATGACATGGATGGAATGCGTGAATGGGTTTACGCCTATCGATGTTTTTGCCGAGCGGTCGTTTCATTTTAAACAAAAATATGTTTTGTTGTTGTTTTAGTTTTTTTTGTAAAGTAAAAGTAAATTGGCTTTCTTTCAATATTTTTCCCATTGATTTTTTTGAAGACTTATAGACTTTCTTCCATCTAGGGAGTGGGGGAAAGGGAAGAGAAGTGAGGGCAGGAGGGTTTTAAAAGGGAATATAACTCACAAAAAAGCAAGCAAGCAGGTGAGCTCAGCAACAACAAAAAATCTGTGTTTGGTAGAAG